GGGACATGGATGAACCTGGAAACCATCATTCTCAGCAAACTGACAGAAGAGCAGAAGATCAAACACCGCATGTTCTCACTCATAGGCGGGTGTTGAACAATGAGAACACAGGGACACAGGGAGGGGAGTACTACACACTGGGGTCAGTTGGGGGGAAATAGGAGAGGGACAGTGGGGGATGAGTTGGGGAGAGATAACAAGGGGAGAGATGCCAGATGTAGGTGATGGGGAGGAAGGCAGCAAATCATACTGCCACATGTGTACCTATGCAACAATCTTGCATGTTCTTCACATGTACCCCAAAACATAAAATGCAATAAAATAAATGGAAAAAAAAAGTTTATGATTGAGATGATAGGGTTTTTAAGATATAGGATCATGTCATCTGCAAACAGAGACAGTTTGACTTCCTATCTTCCTATGTGAATATCCTTTATTTCCTTCTCTGACCCGATTGCCCTGACCAGAACTTCCAATACTGTTGTATAGATGTATTGAGAGAGGGCATCCTTGTCTTGTGCCAGATTTCAAGGGGAATGCTTCCAGTTTTTGCCTATTCAGTATGATATTGGCTGTGGGTTTGTCATAAATGGCCCTTATTATTTTGAGGTGTGTTCTGTTAATACCTAGTTTATTGAGTTTTTAATTTGAAGGGATGTTGAATGTTATCGAAGATCTCTTTTTGCATCTATTGAAATAATCATGTGGTTTTTGTCTTTAGATCTGTTTATGTTATGAATTACTTTATTGATTTGTGAATGTTGAACCAGCCTTGCATCTCAGGGATGAAGCTGACTTGTGATAGATACTAATTTCTTAAAATTAATATGGAATGCATTTGGGGCTGTTTGAGGTAGATATTAAGATAGATTTGGGCTATCTCAGATTTGATAGTCTATTTTAAGTAGGATTTAACATAACTTTCTCCAAATAGTTAACACAACTGCCCAATAACAGTACTTCCTTATTTCCTTTGTGTATGACACCTTATCGTATACCAATCGTTTTATGCCCATATCTCATTTTAATTAAATATGGAGTACACTGAATGCCTCCTCATGATTTCTCTTTTGTAAAATTTCTTAGCTGTACTTACCTATTTATTGGTCCAAACAGATTTTAGAAACACTATTAAGTTCTCCTGATTTTCTCCACTCTGAATATTAGGATTTGCTTGAAATTTCACTAAACCTATATATTCAACTGAAAAAAAAAATCGTATATGTTTTGTACCTATCTTGCTGAGGTTCTACCTAGGTATTTCATGTATCTGTTACTGCAAAATATTTTTTCACATAATTTTGAGCTGGAAGACATTCCCAATGGACTTTCATTGTACAACCAGCATGCTTCAACTGGTTTGATTTATTCTGTATGTGCTTAAATATTTATCAGTACTTTGCTTCATAGACATAAATGAACTTAGCTGGTATTTGAGATGAGAATACTACGGGACACAGAATTGGGGCAGTCCAACTTCGTAGTTTTGAATGGAACAGGAAAAAGCCACTGGTTATTCATTTTACTCTACCGTACACAATTGTATAGATGAAACTAACACTTTATTACTGGAAAGTGTGAAAGATAAGAAATTGATGCACCGTCTGTCATGACAAGTGAATGGTGACTTCTGAAGACAGTAGGGAACCCTGAGTGGCTAACTGTTCCCAATACCATTATTACGCTTTATGCATCTCATCTACCTGACAATCCATTTTGGCATAAGCAAGATGAATAATATAGACAAATTTCTCCATATGAATTGAATTTAAAATGAAGGCTCTAAGTAACTGGTATCTATACCAAAGATTGTTATAAAACTGGCCTCCATGTCCTCAGTCCCAGTGTATGCTGTTGTCCTTGGAGGAGGCACACACATCTGTCATTCACTTGCCTCATTTCTGAGGTGGCCGAATGCCAGCCCTGGCCAAGTGTTCACAGTGTAGAGTGCTTTAGACTCTTCTGAAATGAAAGTCAGTATGTAAATGTGCAACATGACATTATTATTCTAGCTTCCTGGCTGCTTTCAGCAAGCACTGACTGCCACATGAGGTCTCAAGTGTTCTGGCATAGTGTGCAAGTGTTCAAAGAAGTTAAAGTAATGAAATTGGATCTACATTTCCACAGATATTCAAGCTGGCATGGAGGAATGGAGTCAAAGAATCAGGGTTGGATGGTCTCCACCAAACAGCCTAGGCAAGTGCCTGTGATGCCAGGCTACTAAGCAGAATTTTCAATTGTGAAAGCCCACCGGTATTTCTTCCTTTGGGTCTAAAATTGCAAAATATGCACATCTCTCCTAGGCTCACACCACTCTTTAGGTGGTTTAATGTTCAATCTCCAACCATCTATTACCTGAAGTACACCAGCTTTGCTTAAATTCAACATTTTAAAATGAAGAACTAAGTACAAAAAAAAAGGAAAAAAATGTTTAATTAGAACCTAATACAGCATATACTACTGTATATAATATATGACTTATTTTTAAGAAGTTGGTCAGGCTTAGTATGTATATGATCTAAGCAGTATCCACATAGATTTCAGGTTTTGGTAGTTTGTGTTTTTTGCAGTTTTCATTGCTCACAAATCTCAATTGCATCCAGCATTCTCTGCTGCTGAAATATCTGAGCCACAACAAAAGCTGGGTATGTGGGATCAAAAAAATGGGTCCACTAAGTAGTGTCTCAGTGGATCCAGAAGCACTGTAGAATCTGGGTTTAGTAATTCTGGGACCTCCCCTCTGTCTTATACCTTCCTCCCCAAAATGTTTCTTCTGTTCATCAGGACAAGAGCAATGGAACCCAAGTCTCTTGCTTTGCAGCCACCTTTGTAAGCACAAATCCATGATGCTGGGTCCCTTTCCTCCTCATGTCCCTTAAAATCCTGATATTTTCATGGGTTCCAATTATCCATTTATACACACATACAAATGAAGTTTATTTAAAAATGTAAGAGAGGGACAACACAAAGAATTCAAGCAATGAAGAAAACCTTTACTCATACAGAATTTTTTTTTTTATTGCATTTTAGGACAGTGAAAAAAAGGGATTTATAAATAAAATCTACGCCATCCAGGAGGTATGTGTCAGTGTCCAGAACATCCTAGATGAAGTGGCTTCCTTTGGCGAAAGGATAAAGAAGTGAGTGACGGTGACATGTAAGCCCCAGTCTTCCGTAGGACAGGGTGTCTATTTGTTTCTCACAGGGTGAAATGCCACATTCCTTTTGGCAGGGGACACTCCTTCTGGGTGATCTATTGCTCAGTTTTATCATTATTTACTTTATTTCTGCCAGTCTTTGGCTTTATGAAAGTTCTGTCAATTTCCTTCCTGAAATTTAGAACATATTGGTTGGAAAGAAGTCACACTTGTAGTTTTGAAGAAATAACACCGTCCTAAATTTTAGCACATTTTTCACTGTGAAAGACTTTGTTCTTAAACGGAGTATGAAATTGTGATAGGAAAAAATAAACCAAGCTAAATGAGAATTTCAGGTAATTAAGATACACCTACATTTTATTATTGGTCTAGTTACATTTTCATCAAGTGACTAAATTTTTTAAAAAATTGTATTTATGGTACCCTGTAAAAATATTTTTTCAAGTATGTATTTAAATAGCTGAGATCATAATTATCAATAAACTAATGATTTGTGATTTAGAAAATACAATTTTTAAAATTATAAAAACCGAATCCCTATTCCTTAATTTTTTAAAATAAGGAAATATATCTTCACTGAGCTCTAATGCAAAATTAAGAAACTTAAATTCTTAATCTTATATACTTATGTTTTACTTAAAACAGTGTTATATTTTTTTAAAAACAAGATATATTTATAAGAATTACCAGTTAAAAGTATTACATACTTCTAAATTATGTAAAAATTGGCCTATATAATGATTGCTAATGGTCTACTCAAGAAGGGGTGCCAAATTCCGGAGAAACCTTTATTTTCCTAGTTTCATGTATCTGTTCTTTGTTTATTATTCATAACCAAAAGTTTTCTACAGATTTGAATCCTTGAGCATACAATGAATTTGAAAAGGAGTAAATTATTTAAACTAAAGGTATGAGTCACTCATTTGGTGCCTTTCATGTTACAAGGGATAATGCATTTTGTTTTGTATAATTTTGTTTGATATATTCCCACATGTCCAGGTGTTGAGTTTCTACTTTATTATATCAGACAGAACAGCCCCCCTCACTCCCAGCTGTGCCTTTAGGAAGCATTCAGTTTTGGCTTTCTGAAGACTGTTCCCATATCTTTTCTCTCTCCTTCTTCCTCTGTGTATTTTCTTCCATCTCCAAGAATATTTACCTGTCCTCTACACACTATCCACTGAAACAGTATGAAGCCATGAATTTGGGGCATTTCCCCATTGAGTGCTGTCTTTTATCTGGGGTACACTGTGAGCTAATACCTGACAGAAACATCTCATTTATACCAAAAGACCAAGGATCAGGCTAGTGAATGCCTGAGAAGCAGCTCCTTTGTAACTCTAGGTGGTAGAAAGCCTCAGAACAGATGCTTGGCTGGAAAACATGATGACTAGCTACGGGATATGACCAGATCCTGGTGGTGTTCCAGCCTTTGGAAAACCTGAGTTTTGTAGAACTTCCTATGCTAAGCTGAGGTACAGGAATATGGCATAGGAGCCAGTGAGTCTTGTAGGACCCATCTCTCCCGCAAAATGATCTTTTGCATGCTAAAAGAGAAATTCTCCTGGGGTCACATGAAATTTAAAGCATCTATCCAGAAAGCAGATTCAGAAGCAATCTTTAAGCACAAAATGAAAGGGCTCTATAATTACCATGTCTTGTTACTAAATAATCTTTCCAGAACTTTCTTGAATTGCATCCTTTTTTGGGGGAAGATCATATTCTAGATTTAGATTCCATAATGCAGAGAGTAGAAATAGAAAAGGGCAGTCTTTTTTTTTTCTAACAGCCACACTGAGATTCTTTGCCATTTATCCTTCCAATAGGAGTATAAGAACACAGGGAGTTCTTCAGTGGGGCTGCCCAGAAGGAAGGTTTTCTGAGTGAAGAGCCAGTGGCCTCACACATGGAGTAGTGTGATGGATAGCTCTGAGCTGAGCTGCAGGAAAGCAAGCAGACCCTCAGCCTTCTGTTCTCTCCACAAGCAAGCAGAAGCAAAGGTGTCCATCAGGAAGGGAAGGCATGATCCTTTACCTGGTGACAGTTACAGATGCTCACAGTTGACCATAAGAGGAAAAAGACAAAGGCAGAAAAGCCAGACCCGAAGGGTTACTGAAAATAGAATACCCAGATTGACCCAACATTGGCTCATTTGGTAGAAAAAACAATTTTAGGCAATAATTTTGACCTAGAGAGAGACAAAAAGCAAGCTACGTGCCACAAAGCTACGGAACAACTAATTACTAATTATGCTGAGGCACTGTATAGAAGAAAATCTCTTAGCAATCATCCTTTATTGGGAAAAAATTGCCCTGAAAAAACTCACCTCAAGTAAGTACAACATACAGTACCAGGAAATTAGAAGAAATAAGACAGTAACATTTTTCTATCTGAACAATACGTTTTTCTGAAGTGTCTTAGGGGCCCTTCTCACTGTCTCATAAGAAAAAAGTACCATAATTGAAATTCCTTGAGTTGATTAGTTCTAATAATTTCAACTTGATTCACATAAACATGTTACCATCACAACGACTTTTTTATTCTTGACAGAATAAAAGCTATCCCATTTTACAAATGGAGAAAGGGTTAGAGAGGTTGACTCAGCTAAATCCACATAACAGAATCTAGGCTTTGAATACAGATCTGCTAACTTCTTGGTCACATGACATGATATGTTAGTTCCTCTTTAGTGAATGAACTCTTAGGAGAAATTTGAAAGAATGCGATGGTATGCTTGTAAATGGTGATATATTTATATGCCCAACCCTGGAGGCTCTATATAGTGTTTCTATTTTCTTTATAATTTTGGCATACTCTTAAGTACCAGACTGGCTTCCACACAAAAAGGCTTAAATGATTACAATCGTCCCATGTTCCATTTTCCTGATTTTCTACTCCATGTTTTTTGCCTTTGTCTTCATTTTTCTTTTCCCTTTTTGTCTCAGTAAATTCCTTCCCATCTCCTCAGTACTTTTTTTTTTGTAACTTATTCTGTTCATTGGTCTTGTTTCTGTTTGCTATTCTGTCTTATTGTCAATACTGAGTCTTGCAGCCTTCTCTGACTCAGCCCTCTCCATTACCAATTACTTTTGCCAGAATGCTCTCCTTCACAAGAAGTACATGAGAGATAATAGTAAGCAATGCTGATTTTATTTCGTAATTACCTATGTATTTCTGGGAAGAAGGTCAATGATGAGAGGTCAAGTTTTGCAAGGCTAACTGTTCTGTTCTTTCCTGATTTCCAGTTCTATTTGAAACATAGCTGAGGTAGGAAGTGAGTATTCCTCTAAGGAATTCTAACATTCAGAGGATTTTTTACATAACCATGCTGGCAACATTTTATTCCCAATGTGGGGAATACTGAGAGTTGACAGAAGAAAGAATGGTAGGCCCAGGGGCATTCCCCTCTGAAAAGTTGGAGAAAACAGGGATGGTTACTTGTCTTAGTAGTAGAAAAATAAAGATCTTTTTCCATGTGGGAAGTCACCCAAGTAGTGCAAGAGCTTTAGATGCTGAAGTCACCTGGGACAATCTGGAGAAACTGGCAGCAAGACTCTTTACCTGGGCCCTGTGTTCATGCAACTGAGCAGATTATGACAAACTAGGCTGTGTCTTCTGATAACCTATTACAATTGGACTCTATTCCAGAGAGAAATGCCGACTAACTAGGTCCCAAGTTAAGTCAGAATCATATGTATTTTGATATTTGAAAAAAGTATGAAGTACTCAGATTGCTGATGTGTTAATTTTTCATTCAGTACTTTCAACTGGACTGTCCCATTCTTAAGCTGGCTGGCCATTGTAGCCCTCTGTGTGTTCACAGTCATCCTGTACTGCATTCCGCTGAGATACATTGTCCTTGTCTGGGGTAAGTAAACCTTCCCAGGCTCCCCCAAACTGTCTTAGCTGCTACGAACAAACTGTGTTTAAGAGATGAGTTACACTGTCAGCAGTTCTCTGTATTTATGGTCATGAAGCTACTCCATGATGAAAAGAGACAGGTCAGTTAAAAATCACAACAGTATAAAGATTTAGGTCTACCTGCAAAATGTATTTTTCTTATCTGGCACACTAGGTTTCATCATACAATAAACATGTGAGTTGTAAAGATTCTTCATATATCAAAGTGTAGCTTTGTCTAGATATCCCTCTGATTTATTTTCACCACTTATATACAAACAGAGGCATTTCAATCCATATGGTGCATTTAAGAAAATATGCTTTCTTTGCTGTTGTATTTTATCTTGTGGAAGTATATGTAAACATGGTACTATACATGGCTGCCTGTTTAAGAGGTCACCTTTAGCATTTGGGAAAAGGGTCCTTGGCACTTGCAGGTTCCTTAGTAAGACCCCTTTATGTGAACTAAATAAGACTGTTTCTATAAATACCTACATTAAAGGTGATTTTTTTCGGTCCTAATTTTTAATGTGAGTATGCTGCATGCCAATGATTCCTACGTACCTGGGCTCCATTTAGGAGATTGTCAGTTGCAGCATTCTTCAATTTCTTTCCTGACAAAATTCTTGGTTTGGAAAACAACTTTCCATCTCTAGGATCTACTACAACATTAATAATACATAAACAAGACTGGGGAGAAGAAGAATTCTCTACCTGCCCCTCACCTGCCTACACATACACCTAAGATTGCTAAACCTATACAAAACACAAAGGACCAAAATGGGTCTTAGCTTTGGAAAGCATGTGCTTACACTGAAAGCAAAATTTTTTTTCTCTTTAACGCTTTTGAAGAAATATATTGGAATAAAGTGAGTTCAAGTCTGATACCCCAAGCCCTCTGCTTTTAAGATTCCTATTTCCCTATTCTTTTTGGTCCAACTTATCACATATTGAGCAGGCCCTCTTACCCTGTATCACTAGCATTACCTTTACAGCCTGGGTGAGAGGTGGGGGAAATGGGAATTATTTTTTCCTTTCCTAATTTCTGTAATTCAAAGAAATTCAATTTAGACAGCACTTTCATTATATAAGGGAAGAATAATTTAATTTCCACTATGTTCTTACTTCCTATTGTATGTTCATCTTTCATTTCTTCCTGATAGTTAAGGCAGATGCTTCTTTATTGAAAAAATTAGTCTACCTAGGGTCAGACCTGCCTTGGCTTCTGGAGTCATCTCTGTTGCAATAGGTGGTGGCAAATGCCCTGTTCTCCCAGGTTTGCAGAAACTGGAGCCCACGGCAGACATCTAGCTATGTAACTTGCAGTGGCCTCACTGAGTAGCTGCCTTAAAAGTAACTTTGCAGAATGTGTTTGGGCCTCTTGTTTCATCAAACAAAATAAAACAAAAAAAGTATTCCTTTGGTGGTAGGTGATTGCTGAAATATTAGCCAGAAATTTAAGACTATAGGTCTTACATGAGGAGACAGATTCTAGAAGCTTATTCTGCATGAACTCCCTGAAGAAGAGCCAAAATGCTCTAGTTTATGGCTCAGTCTTTACCAGTTTGTTGATTTCATGTAAAGGTGTTTATTTTTTTTTTTACAAAGCTGGGAGTAAATATTTTCATTTCCGGTTTGAAAAAAAAAATAAAGATCACGTGTCTTCTAAACATTGATCGGGCATAACAGCAACACACACTCCCACCTCCAAAAAGATGCATTTTTTGGAAAAGGGGAAACCAATAAGTTAGACATCTTGCCTTAAAAATCTTAACCCAAAAAGTAGGAAAGCAAGTTTCATCAGAAATGAAATACTAAAGTAGGGCTTCTAAGTATACTGTAACACAGAGGGGAAAAATGCAAGAGATTGCTAATTACTGCCAGGGAACCTCCTTTATTTCCCACATAGAAACCCTTTCCTGCTTGGAAGAAGCTACTACAGTACAAAGTGACAGAGCAGCAACTGAGGAAGGAGGAAGAAATGAAGGAGAAAAAGAGGAAGAGAGGGAAAAAATTGGGTGCATTGGTTCACTGGTTCAAGGCATACAAGTTAGATCTTCCAATTGCTATAACACTTTTGCCAGAAACGTGCTCTGTTTATCTCCAATTTTGGTTATTTAAATAATGTTTAATCTATCACTTTTTCAGGAATCAATAAATTTACAAAAAAGCTTCGGAGTCCATATGCAATTGATAACAATGAACTACTTGACTTCCTTTCCAGAGTCCCTTCAGATGTACAAGTGGTATGTAGGTTTTGTTATTATTATTGCTATTATTTTAATGTAGTATGGCTCTGGGTTTTAGCATTTATATCCTTCTAATGTAAACGCTTTACAAGAGCTGAGTAAAATTAATAACGCCTGTGTAGCAGATTTTACCAGTCAGAAATTTAGCCCACTTGGGGTGTTATCTAAGAAGAACTTACAGAGAATGGGCGAAACAGCAGTTGCATAAAGAACCTACCAGAGCTGTCAGGGAGGATACTCTTCCAAGTTAGTTCAGCTGGAGTTTGTGATGGGAGTCACTATGACCTGAGAGGGGAAAATAGGAATATTAGATGATGAAATCAAAATATGCCAGTGGACATTAAGAAAAAAATATCTTTCCAGAATTTGCAAGAATTACAAGTAAGTTTTAAAAAAGTATATTTTGGAGGTCAGTGAGGAGAGTTTTTTGAAGAGTGTAGCATATCTCTAAAACCTGTGAAATCCTTTGAGGTTAATGCCCATTAACCATCAGCTGTTTTCAGAATAAAAAAACGATTTTTTTTGTTTTTTTTGTGACAGTGGGCCGGATGGAAATTACGACTGTATTAAGCAAACACACACTAAATTGTAAAAAACCATCATCAAGCCCTTTAAAATCGATATAGTTTTGCTTTTAATGTAATGTGTTCGTGAAGGCCATTACTAAAGTTCACATCAGGGCTTCATGTAGTTTCCGACAGGATTTCCCTTCTTATTCTTGTTCTGTCATTCTATTGCTTTCTGCATCTCAGCTGTAGATCCCATATAGCTTCTAGAGTGAGCACTTTTTTCCCCCCAGCACAGTCTCTCATTCCTTTGCTTTTCCCTTCTTTGCCAGAAAGTGGCCACCTGAACAGTATTTCTCTGAACTCTGTTTAAACAGGTGCAGTATCAAGAATTGAAACCAGATCCTTCTCACAGCCCATATAAAAGAAAGAAAAACAATCTTGGTTAGCCAGCTCCCAGCACTGAGGAGACCAGCATCTGTTTGGGAAGATAAAAGAAGAAAAAGCTCTCAGCCTCAGCAGCATTTCCTTTCTTTCTGCTTTTTATTTATTTTGCCTTTTTATCATGATGGAGAGAATTTGTAAATAGTGTACAAAGGGATATGTCTTTGAAAATATACTTCTATTGTACAGACTCGATAAAGGTTTTGCTACTGCTGTGTGAAAGCCTTGTTAGCTGTGGATAATAATATAACACACTGAAAGAACAAATATAAGAATGATAACATTGGAAGATATATACTTATCTAATTACAAGTGGATTAAATACTCACCTGTGCTCTGATTAAATCAACATCACTGTAAATGTCAATTTGATTTTAATGTGACTATTTTTTATCTCAAAAGTAATCCATTACACTTTTCTATGTTTTATACATTTCAAAAGGTAGAGAAATCCCAAAGCCTGAATAATGGAATAGATGCATTTCAATTTAACATATATTCTGGCTTTAGATCCTGACATTCACTCCTGCGCAAATTACTTAGGTATGACTAGGCTGATTTTAAGCAAATAAGGTACATTCACTCCCTCAAGAGAATCTTCAATACTCTGCAATTCTCTAAAGAAAACTTTCAAACCTTCTAACAATCATTCCATCTAAAACCTTAAAATCTCTACAGGACTACACCACATAAATACTGCCAGTTTATAAACAATTGCCTATCTGAATTTTTATACCTACCATTAATTTAATTTATACAGAGTTAGCAAATTAGCAACGCAGTATAGTTATCAACAATACTAGCAAACTATATCCATATTGCTTTTGGTGTCAGATTGTATCTGTGCATCTAAAAATATTTTAATACTCAAGTGCTCTCACAAAAAAACTCTGCTTTCTCATTAGATTACTGAAATGCTCTAATTCATACTATGATTTTGTTATTAGTGTGAATTTTAATGTAGAGGAGAATGCAGTGTGCTAAGTGATATGCCAGTGTTTCACTACATTTATTAAAAAAAAAATTCTTGATAATGCATGAAAACCTGTTTTGTAAAATAAACTGCTTGGGGGTGGTGGTTGCCTTTAACAATGTTTCACTATTATCATAGAATCTACACTTAAAAATTGCATTCCCAAGACTCTTAAAGTAGTTTTTGTATCTTACTCCCTGGTATATTGAGGGAGCATACCTCTGGAGAAAAATAATTTGGTTGGTTGAGAATGTCTTACTTCCCTGACTTGGTAGGGGATTACACTCAGTTGAAACTGCAGCAAACAATGCTTTGCACTACTTTATTAATAATAGACTGGCGTGGGGTAAAAGTGGGGGTTATGCTGGAAAAGTTATAGAAAAGCTGAAAAATGTATTTCACTCTAAAGGAAGATTCTTTAGTGATAAATTTAATCTCATTGAAGCTGATTTTTAAAGTATTTTTATTTTAGAGATAAGTTGTTAAATACTATTTCTTATAATAGAACTATTTTGATCTGTTTATATACTATGCTTGAATGTCAATTAAATTCCCTTTCTACAGAAAGGCTTTGACCTCAACATGCTCTATTTAATGTATCATGTTTAAAATGACATGCTTCCATCTGCATACCATCACTGTTTGTTGCTAAAAACATAATGTTCCATGAACTTGATGTTACTACAGAAAGTTTATTGATGAAATAATTGTTTGAAATAACTTTCGAATATACCTTATGTGAGACTTATGTTCTATGCTGGCAATGTGTACTCAGATGTCTCTAAGCCTGATATTCTACAACCTGAGATGTATCTAGTGGATAGTAACCATTAACAGATGACTAATTTGTTTGTTTCACTGTTTCAAATTTCAGATGTTTAGTTCAATGGTAATGTTGACTACACATTCACTGCATTAAATACAAAAGAAAATAATCTTTCCCATGTATAATCAATACTCTTTTTTTGGTGGTTCAGAGATTAATGGGGGATTGTGTGTATATTCTTATAAATTATATTTCACTTGGAGAAACACAGATTTGGTTTAAACAAACAGGGCTTTTCCTGAAACTCTGACTCTTGTATAACAATACCTTTGGAGGGATGCGATGCAATGAAATTCACAGAGGAATAAGAACTAGTTTGAGGCACAAAAGAGATATTCACGGAAATCTTCATCACTTCTAGAAACTACTACATTCACAGGCTGAAAACAGACTATGTATAGTAAAATTTTAACTATTTCTTTGTCCTTCTCACATAGGTTCAATTCTGTCTTGAGAGCTGCCCGACTTGTCTTGATTTTGAGAGATTTGTGATGTAAATATTTTAAGATATCTTGAGATTGAATGTCACGCTAACATCTACTTGGACTGCTAATGATCATAGATATTGTAAACTACTAAATATATTCCTCAGTATCTTTTAATGAGTATATTCACTGAAAGTCATCATTATATTTGTATTCCAAACTATTATTGCCACTAGTTGTGATAATTCATAAGAAATGCATATTTGTGCTTTTTAATTTTTTCCTCACCTATCAACAATGGTACTTCTCATTCTGGTGCTGTTTCAGACTTAAACTGTTTGATAGGTTCTGTAGGAATTCCAATTTTTGAAACATTCTATACACTACGATAATCTGAGTTGGCAGAGTCTTTAAAAACTTAGCCTTGTGATATAGTTATTGAATACCAACTGCATGCCCCTGTTATTGGCAATGGTCAAACCAATGATTGATTGTATATTAAAATCAAATCTGGAGTTGAAGTATAGTGTGAGTCAAATTTAATTGATACATTTCTAAAATTATCTTTTATAAAATTTTTATTCTGCATTTAAAAGTGAAGAAAATTCAGAAATAAACTTTATCTAGGGACCAGAGGAGCTTTTTTCCACTTTGATCTCATATCTAAGTTCTCCTATGCTGAAAGTAGTGTATATTTGTATTAACAAGTTATTCAAAATCTGTAATTTCAGCTAATGAACTTGTTAAATGAGCCTAAATGTTTATAATGTTGAGTTTTGTAGTCAAGATTAAGAACAAAGGTATAAGGCAGTTACACCTTTTGCTCCAGAAATACAAGTAAAGACAGCTACCATTATATTTATTGAAAAAGGTCTCAGATATTATTGAATTAATACTTGCTTAAATCCTGGGGCTTTAAATGAAGAGCATGATTTCACACTCTAGTGTGACTGTGTGTATAGATATCTATTCATTGGTTTGATTAGAGTATCTAGAACCAGGCTTTTCTAATTGCTCAGTCAAGTATGAATTAAAACCACATAGAAAATAATGTGGTAAATTCTTTCTTACATTAGTGTCATTTCTTTCAATTATACTTCTTTTTCCTGGGATGATTGGTGTAACTCACTGAAAGAAAACATCAAAACATTTTTTTTTTTTGGGTGAAAAATTTCCCCTCTGGTACCTCAATTTCTATTATTTATAGAGTGGCAATTTGTATAGAGGCAGTCACATACGATTTATTTTACCTGAATGGTTAAAATTTGATAATTTTGAAAAATCTCAGTGAAAAAGAATACTATGCAAATAAAAACCATTGAAGGTTCAAAGCAATCACATAATGTAGAAAGTGGAGCACCATGAAAGTTTTGCTGGAACTTAATGATTCTGTGCTTTTCCAAGGAAGGATGTGAGTTCAGAATTAAAAAAATAGCAAAAATTATAATTGATCTCAAATGAGTTTCAATTCATTGGGCTCTTTCTTGACATCATAAGCTTAAAAAAAAACCCAAACCAAAAATTCAAACAAAAAAGTGTTCTATTACATGCACAAGCAGTATTTTTGTAAAGACAGGTTTTCACAAAATTTATATGATGGTTATCCGTACCTCCAAATGTCACTGAAAAATATTACTCCATTTTTTAAAAAGTAACCAAAGTACACTGCTGTTCTGCTTTAGTCAATTAAGTGTTACTATATCAGGCAGAAAGATTTGTTTCAAGGAAAGCAGAAATAGTTAAGGTAAGTAGCCGTGCCTAAGTTTTTTCAGTATGTAGCAAAATTAAAATTGCATTGCACTTATGCCCTACTACAGATTCTTCAGTGTTCCTTCCAAAGAGAAAAGGAGTGGCCAACCTCAGTCAATGAGAGAACCTAAAAACTACCTTATTTTCTCTGAAGGAATACATTTAAGGAGATCCTGAAGCCTGGCTGAGTAGAATTGTTGCCCCCACTAGTGAAGAAAGATGATAATATAGGTTCAGTTTCACTTTCTAGTTAAAGACAAGCTCAAAATCACTTGAGTCTATTTGAGGGATTTTATTTTGCCAGAGTTCAAATGGTGACAGGTTTGAAGGAAATGCTAAATTCATAGAAAAAGGAGCACACCTGGCCTAACTACACAAACTTACTCATACTTGTTTTTTTGCATTACTAGAGACACCTGAGAATAGTCAAGCATTGTTACAGAAACAGCTGGATCACAGAAAAGAGACAAGGGGAAGGAAATGACAATATTTGTCCCAAGTTTACAGAACCTTTTTCAAGAGAACTGAAACCTTGTAACTATATGCCCACAAAACATTCTTTTCTACAGTAATTATGAAAACAAGTCAAAATCTGTACCTTGTAACACTGCAACCATGGAAAACAATTTATCGGTGTCAAGAACTTATAAGCTCTTAGAAAAATTTTACAAAGATAGAAGTATCTATTTCCTATCATTCAAGGTTGAGTATGTTTGTAATTTTGTCATCTTTCTTTTATAATAGAGGAAATAGCTAACATCAATTTCTGACCAAAAAAACACAATGGTATACCTAACTCTTACCTTTGTCCTAAAACTCTTACAAACTTCGGTTTCCATTAACAGAGAACTAGCAAACCATAGGAGGGTCTTTGAAGCACACGAGAAATAATCCAGAAAACCCTATGTATATTTGATGAAGGAGTGTTTAAACAGATTAATGTGATGTTCCATTATTTGTGTAAAGTTGCTAACCATCACTTTTAAAAAAATGCATTTGCAGAAGAGAAAAATATTTTTAAAAAATCAAATCATACATCATTTGGTAATTTAAGCAAGAGCAAAATACAATGACTTATGGATTGGGGTACCAAGTATTCGCCATCCAATCTTGTACACTATGATGTTATGTGTTTGATACATAGTATATATAAATGCATATGTACTTGATTTCCCATGACTGTGACAACAGCCCTGACCAGTAGGTAAGAAATCTTCCCCTAAAAAAACAAATTGATACAATCAGGTGTACTACAGTTACCATGTAGATATACAGGATATTTATACAAAACAACTGTAAAAAGACTGTTTTAGTACTTAAAAGAGTACCTTACAAGAAGCTATTTCGCCGGCCTTCACAGAAGAGGTGCAAAATAACATGCTCTGGAGAACGGTGGTAAGACACTCTCGGAATTCTCTCAACAGAGGGTTGTTTGTATCTGCATTAATGTTGCAAATAATATGTTATAAAGTGGATATTTTTTCATATACAGTGAATATTTTTTCAGACTGATGATAGAAGAAAAAAATTCTTTACATAGTAGTATCCTTTCAAAGCCATTTAAGGTACAATCTTTGAATAAATGTAGCTATCATTTAATCTAACCAATTTCTTCCTGCTTTTCTATGTCAAATCTGAAAAAGTCTCATTAGAGAACAAGTAATTCTTCAGGTTCCACAAACACTAATATCAGAAAGTAAAGATATGTTATCATACGTTATGACTCCGCAAGATAAAGTTTACTCTTTAGTGACTTAAGAGTACTACTAAAGAGTGATACCCCTCCAACTCCCACTTCAACATACTTGGGGCTCCATTTTGAAGTGGCTTAAAACAAAGATCAGAGAAACATTATCAGCTAAGTGATAGGTCAGATTCATGTTCAAAAAAGGAGCACAAGTATAGTGTATTATTTGAGATCTGTGTTTGATAATACTAATTATATTTTTAGTTATATCCAACCTTAAAGAAATAGCATGTTAAAACTGTAGTTTACCTTTTAAAAATCCAGTAGATGCCAGTTTAAATAAGACAACTTTAGAAAAATTTCAAGGACTGATTCTTATTTAAATCTGGAGCATTACTTTCAAAATAAATTAGTTATTGGTATTATAAACAAATACAAATTATTACAAAGAAATCTGGAGAAGTGAAAAAGAAATATCCAAAATTTTTTCACATAAAGACAATTACTATAAGTAATGGTTTTACTTACAATCTTTTTCCTTATGTAATTTACAGAGTGTGTGTGTGTGTGTGTGTGTGTGTGTGTGTGTACACACACATATTACTATTTATACTTAGAGTCTTACTGTGTTGCTCAGGTTGGCCTTGAACTCCTGGGCTCAAGTGATCATCCTGCCTCAGCCTTTCAAGCAGCTGGGACTACAGGCATGTGCTACCATATCTGGCTGAGGAAATAATTTTTAATAACATTTACTTGCAATTTTTAAAATATTAAAATTAGTAAAGGAAAATTATATTTAGGTAAAAGGTCCAACAACTTTTAATAAACAGCTTTCAGCCTTTCTGTAAGTCCATCTCCTCCAAAAACATGGCTAAGTATAAACTTAACAGTATTTCTGGGAGTGTAAAAGAACTGAAATGATAGGAAAATAAGAAATGAGATACAAGATTTGCCTGTGAGAAAGGACTGGGTATTACTATTCAAAACAGCCTTTTTCTCATAGGAAGGCAAAAACCACATGATCTCACTTACGTGTGGACTCTAGGGGAGTTGATCTCATAGAAGTAGAGAGTAGAATGGCGGTTACCAGATGTTGGGAATGGAAAGGGAGGGAAGGCGAAGATGGGGAGACAATGGTCTCAAGGGCTATAAAGTTAGATTAAGAAGAATAAGTGCTGATATTCTATTACATAGTCGGGTGACTACAGATAATAACAATGTATTATATTTCAAGACTGCTAGAAAAGAGGGTCTTAAACGTTATCACTACAAAGAAATTATAAAGGTTTAACATGAAGGACAGGTTACTATGATTTTATCATTATACAATGTACACATGTATTGAAACATACTGTACTCTAATAAACATGTACAATTACTATGTGTCAATTGTTTTTTAAAACACAGTGAAAAAAAATCTAGCCTGATTCTGATACCATTAGAACTGGAATTTTATTATTCTTTATTTTTGATTAAATTGAACTTTAACCAAAAGAACCTTCTATAAAACAATTATCTGGACCTTTGGTTTAATTTATCAAATATTCAAAAATTTCAAAGACCTAGTTTATTTCTGAGATTAGTCTACATGCTTTCTGTAAGACTGATTTTATACCTTCACTAACTTCCATCAATGTAATAAACAGTACCTAGAAATCTTTGCCCTTGGGATTCCTTTAAACAGAATGATTCTTAACCATTTTTGCCTTCATCCTCTTTCCCAGTTTTCACCTTTACAATTCTGCTTGTAAGTTTTTATGGAAAGTTCTTTAAAACACATATTTTAATTTTACTAGATTTTACTTATTGCTCTATAATTTTATGTCTAATCTTGTAAAAAGGAGATTATGCAAAGTAGAAAAATGCTTCTTTAGGATGAAGCCAGATAACCAAGATATATATTCCTTTAAACAAAAACAAAAAACTATTATAAATCAAATGATTTTGGTCATTAGAAAAATTTATCAAGAGTCATGACATAAACCACTGCTGACCTAACCTTTAGGTTGAGAAGTCACTGACAACAAACTAAGTTATTTTCATCTGCCAACACTTTAAGATTAATGATTTCTTAATATTACTATTTATTTCACTTTGAGACAGAATAGGGAAGCAGTGATAATTTTAGTTCATCTATTATCAAAATAAACAATAGTATGATAGGTGTAAATGCAAAGCTGGATTCCAGATTTTCAGTTCAGTGAACTTACTTTCTTTAAGTAGTAAACCTTTTTCTTTTTCTTTTAACTTCCACTCTTTGGTAGAATGAAATTTTATGTCCCAAACTACTGAGCCATTCTCTATTAATGTTTAACAACCATAATGCATTAATGTTCACTTGATCCAACTCAGATACCTTGGCAAGGAAGAAGATTAGATCTACCAAATCTGGGTTCAATATCTAAAAAGATTTGAGGGCCATGATATAAAAATGACTAATTGGGAAGTATATGTTTTAATTCTAATTGGAAATAACTATTTATAAATGCTTGAATAAGGGCTTTTGGGAGTTTATATTTGTTAAAGGCAATACAATATTATACATTACATATATAACAATACTACATACTTATTAGGAATACTGTTTAATAAATAGTCACTTTGTTGACAATATTGTTGATCTTTAATTCCGCAAGTAGTTTAAAAACCCAGAGGAGAGTTCATTATACTTCTGTTTTAAAAAGGGGGTGGGATTGTAAATATCTCTCTTCAAAAACAAAAAACATAATATTCTAAAAAAATCACTTGTATCTAGTGCTAAGGATTGTATTTCAGCTTTATAAAAACATACTTTAAGTGTATTTATAATCAAAACTATATACTTACACTAAAAAAAGACCTATTGTAATAAATTCAAAAATAAAAAGTATTAGGAACAGCTTGTGCATACTTTAGATGTTCTGTAAGATTAGTATTTAAGAGGACAAACTCTTTTTAAACATCTAATGATCAATGATGTTAAAAATGTTTTGTTTCCTTTGAAAAGGTCTTTGAGTACGATTTGCATTATCTTGAAATTGTATGCTCAGAACTAAGTAAAACAACATTTCAACCTTTTCTAATTTATAGCCTATAATAATTTTAAAATATATATCACAGCCAATAACTACCAAAGTATATTCTCCAACTACAGTTCATTTTAACCTATAAGTTGAATTTTCTGATAACGTAATTTAATTTACAAGGAATAGTTAACTATTTCGTGTCTCCTGTTTTGACAACACCAGGCAGAGCCTAATTCTAATAATACTATCACTGACCTTTCTAACTCAATCCACATTTGTTATAAAAACAATTATCATTCCTAGTTTTGCAAGCTCCACCTCAGCAGGAGGTGCAATTGGCGTGAAAGCTACGTGATAAATGCCTGAGGGAAAGAATGCCTCATGTCACTCAAGGATGACCCCTTCCTACTGATTAAGGAGCAACAGTGACAGGCTCTCATCAAGTTCGCAGCTTAACTGGAAATGTGTATAAAGGCATAAGGACTGCACATTCCACCAATTTTTTTTTTCATGTGAAGGTATTCATTTAATTTAACTTTCTATAGCAGCATAAACAAAAATGGCGGATATTTTCTGGAGGTTATATAAAGTATCTTAGTGTTAATGTATTTGTGCTTGCTTAAGAATACTGACTGCAAAAGCACACCCTACATCCCATCCACTCTAAAATAATATCGCTAAAATAATACTCATCAAAGGATTGAAGTACTGTACACTTGAATATTCACGTTTATAAACTAAAACAGAACACCAATTACTGAAAATTTTAGAAACATACAAAACTGAAATTAATTTGAGATATAGAAGATAACAAAACTCACAATACTTAAGCCTTATTTACCTTCCTAGACTGTGAGCCTTTCCTTTTTTTATAGTTAGCCCTTTTCAAGCACACCACCTGGTTCAGAGCAGGTTTTCAAGAAATGCTGAATTCACAGGAATTAACTTCACATTTGACTTTTATGAGGATAAATGTTTTTCTGGTCATCTTGGAACGAATAAAATGACAAAATATGTATATACTTGGACCACTATTCTGCAAAGTGAAATTAAAAATTAACAACCTACAAAACTCTAACTTCAAAGAAATTCTAAGAAACTGCCAGTAAACACTGCATGGGGAAAAGCTGAATCTTAACTGCTCAGAAATCTCCTCCCCAGCTTTATTTACATTATAATATGGTTTCTCATAGATATTTTTAAACCTATGATTCCATGGAACTATGATATCACATCTGGCAAAATACAATGAAGAAAAGCATTTTTCAATCTTCAGCTGCAACTTTGAAAAGTCTGCAATTGAAAATTGAGGACAAAGATTAAGAATTATACTTTATTTACTGAGAATTTCTTCTTCCTATACCTTAAAGATAGATTTGGGTAATTATTCAAGGCAGTTACTATGTTTTCTAAAATAAAGTATAAAAAGTAATTTTGGAAATGAAGTATTCTATTGAAAATTTAAATTCATACTCATATACTGGTATTGTTAGCCAGGGCACAGAACACAGTAACCTATGTTTACCATGTTGGACTTTCAAAGAAGTGTAAAACTTCTGAAAGGCAGAGACCTCAATGATATCTGTTTCATACTTCATGTCATCATGGCTTGTGGAAGTTGGCAGACAGAACAGTCAATTGTGAAATATTAATGCTAACTGCAACTAAACAAATGTATCNGAAGTTGGCAGACAGAACAGTCAATTGTGAAATATTAATGCTAACTGCAACTAAACAAATGTATCTTATGAACATCTAATTAAGAAAACTACTTTGTCTTAACAGTATAAAACCCTAACTCATGATGATTACTTAATTACCTTAGAATTACTATCAACTTAAACAATTACTACCTTTGGTCTAAATAGCTAATTACAATTAAAAGAGGAGGTAAGAACTAGAAGGGAAATGGTATTTATTAAGTGTCATATAATGTGATTGGCTAACAATTCTATCATGACAAAGATCCTGGTGTGATTTCTATTTGATATGTACGAAAACCAAAGCTCAGAAAAGAATCTGCCTTGTAATTTAGTTATTAAGAAACTAGACAAGGATTTGAAAATGTGTATGATGCCAAGGTATGTTTACAAGTTTATAGTAGTTTACCAAGCAAACACTATCTCAGATACTTTTACAAGTGAAGTAAAGAGGTACTCCTTGGAATAAATATATTCTTATCATCTGGAGAAGCACCTTACTCTCTATTATAAGAAGTATTTAAACTTTTCTTAGTCTGCATTATATCATTTTTTTCTCTGATACTTTGGTGGATTAATAATAAAAAGATTTGTATGATGTCAAATTTGAAGGCTAAATACAAACAACTAGTATTTCTTATGTGTGAAAAATTACTTATTTAAAAATACTTTTTCATACTGATGTAGCAGTTTTCAATTTATATTATAAACCCAGTAATATGATACTGAGCATTTGTATCTTGTTAAAATACCTATTTCCAAGATAAAACTGAAGTGTGTTGCTTTAGCAGATTAACTGCTGTAAAGTCATCACTTTAGTTACATAAAAGCTAAATGGAAGTGTTTCTTTTCTACCTGTACCATAATGTAGCTTATTCCTACTAGTGAAGAAACTTCAATTTCAAAAGTGGTTATTATCCACACCCTTTCTTTTAGTTTTACTATAAACTGCTATTAGGAAAAACTGCA